CTCCCTGGCTAGCTGGCTGGGCATGCTGGAAAGGTCCCTGGCATATTGGTGTTGGAGGGGCAACGAGGGTGCGTTCCAGGGCACGTGGGGCCACAAAGCTTTCTGGCGTTTGGCTTGGCCATTGAGTAGCTGATGCTGCCGGCTGGGGTCTCAGCAGGATGCTGCAGGCGGTGATGGTTAGTCTCCGTCTTCCCAGGACACTCCCAGCTCCTGGACAGGTGGTTTTTAGAACACGAAATCTAACCAGATGAAAGAAGAGGAGGGTTGTGCCAGGTCCTGTTGGTTGGGAGACGCCCAGGGAACACCCAGGAAGCAGGTGGGGGCCATGACTCGATAGCTGGCGCTGTTCCCGCTGGATGAGCGTGGAGCCAAAGCCACAGCATGGAGCTAGGGGACGCTGTGCTGCTGGCAGTGCCAGCTTTCCAAGGGCATGAAAAACAGGTGCTGAGCTGAGCCCGGGTGGTCATTCAGGACCCTGAGAGTTTGGCCACACGCCAGCTCAGGTAACTACACTCCTCCTTATGGCAGCGTCAGCTGGATACAGCATCCTCCTTCACTTCCCGACTGGCGAGCAGTGTTACTGTGCACTGTTAACCAGCTGCTGCGTTCCACCCCAGACACGGCTGCATTGCAGGGGTGGGTGTCGCGATCCTTAGCTCTTCCTTACGAATCTCCCAAGGTGCCTTGTCAGCGTCTGCATGGTGCTTTGCAAGGATGTGCTGGGTTCCTTTACCCAACTGGCCACGCAGGAGGAGGGCCGGCTGCTGCCATAACGCTGTGGGGCGCTGCGCTCCAGCGCCAGACTCCTGGGGGGGAGAGTAGGGAACGGGGATGGTGGCAAAGGGCCTTTGTGGGGTTGGAGAGTAGCAGAGCAGGGGCGCGGAGGGATGAGGGCGAGTGCCCCAGCCCTGGCTACCACCAGCCAGCGTGCTGATAAAAGCCCTGTTCTGTGCCAGTCTCTCCCGGCGCGCCCCTCCCCCAGCATCTCCGGAGCGTGCAGCACACGTGGGACAGTTCAAAGCCTCGCAAAGAGCAGCAGCAGCTGCCTTGCATCTGCCCTTTGGACACGGACCATCCTGGCTGCAGGCTGGGCTGGAGCGGAGGCTCACTGAACGTGGAAACAGTCACCTTCCCCATCGCAACTGGCTGCAGCCCCAGTAGCCCTGCCTGGGAAGACACTGTCCAGGTGGGGTGGAGTGGGGCCAGCAGGAGAAGGGGATTCTCAGGGGCCAGCTGCTGGTCAAGGCCCCCAGCACCAGGCCCAGCAACCCCACATGCTGGGTCAGCCCCACTGAGCCTGATGCCAGCCCCCGCTCAGAGGTTACGTCATGGCTGCACTAGCCCCTCTGGGAGATGATGCTTTGCTGCAGCCGCACCCTGCTCTGCTCGCTCTGTCTGCAGGGGAGGGCGGCTTCATTGCTCTCTCCTGCCTGGACCCTGGCAACGGAGCCCCACAGGGCAGACAAAAGGCCCAGCTATCCCAGCGTCCCATCCTGGGCGGGGCAGGGCCAGGTGCTGCAGAACTAGGGGTCCAAAGCCCACAGCAGCAGTGCTGGGCCAAGCCCCCCTCAGAGGCTGGCTACTGTCCTGGAGGGGTGCACAGCAGGGGCCCTCTCCATTAGCGCTACAGCCATTTGAATCCCCGTGGGGGGCTCCATAGGGCCTGCTGCATCCCCCGGCTCCCCCTTATTGCTAGAACTGCACCTCCCACTCCAGCTGCTGCAACACAGCCTCTGGCTCCAGCAGACAAAGGTGAGCAGGGCCAGGCTCCGGTAAGCTGAGGGGGCACGGGGGGCTCAGGAAGGAATCCTCCAGCCGGCCCGACACATTGGGGGGTGCTTGCTCCCACCCTGGGACGCAGCAGTGTGGGGGGCCCGTGACCTCCTGCAGCATGGCAGGGCCCAGGACACCACACCTGATGGGATGTGGCCTAGCAACTCCTGTGTGCCTCTTCTGCGCTCCCCCAGCCCAGCAGCCGCCACCCCACCCACTGGCTGGGCCCCCCGGCTGCTGCTTCCCCCTGCTGGGGTCACTTACCCACTGTGCTAAGGGGGTGGGGTGGGGGGCTGTGAGCTGAGGGGAGGTATTCTAGCCTCCCACAGGAATGAGCCCCCCGTGCCCCCGCAGCAGTTGTGTGTAGCACCTGTGCAACGGTGCAGACACGGGCCTGGGAGCCACACAGAGAACATGCTGGTCCCACACCCGGGTCAGCCCCCTCAGGCCCCACCCAGCTTCGCAGGTCCCCAGGAACACCAGCGCACGTCCCCACACGGAGGTTGCAGCATGGAATAGTTTGTGGCGTTGTTCCCAGAGTCCATTCACCGAGTGTATTTCTCCCAGCCCCCAGCGCTGCGTGGTAAGACTCTGCCTGCTTTCCCAGGCTGCAGCACCGCTGCCAGACTGGCTGGGAACGAGGCAGCAGCTCCGAGGCCCAAATCCAGCAGGAAACCTGCCTAGCTTCCCTGGGGTGGTTGAACCAGTGAATTGAGCAGTTCAAACCAGAGGCCTCCCCCCAACCTCCCAATCTCTACCAGCTGGCATGGTCAGTGTCACTATCCCCATTTTACACTTGGGAAAACTGAGGCATAGAGCAGGGCCAAAACTTACCCAGCAGGGCAGGGGGAAGAGTTGGAAATAGAGCCCAGCTGTGCTGGCTTCCAGTGCAGGGCTCTGTCCAGAGCTAAACAAGGCAGATTCCTTTTATCACCACCACCACACAACAGTAACTAGTCAAGCCTCACCGCAGCCCTCCAGGGGCAGGGCCCATCAGCTGGATTTTCCTGAGGGAGAACCAGAGATACTGAGGGTTTAAGGGCCACCTTTAGTGCGTGTGCTAAATTACACCCACTCAGCCTCTACTGTGTGCATACAGATGTATACATATGCAATGCATGTGAGAGCGCGTACAGGTGTGTGCATGCAGACAGGTCAATGCCTTTGCAAGTCAGGGGTTGGGCCTATGCAGTTTAGCAGGTCTGCACTTCGGAAAATTTGTTGCCAAATGCCTGTCAGTAGAACTGGATACGCAACGCGGGACTCTCGAATCCTTGCCTGTGCACCAGCCCCACAGCTCCCTAGAATGCACTCCCTGCCAGGGACGTGGAATTCTATGCATCAGTCAGTGCTTTAAAAACCCCCATGCGGGCAACCCTCAGGCCCCTGCCCCTGGCAGCCTCAGCAGCTCCCCCTGCTGCATGGGGGGGGGATCAGGTAGGGGCCTTTAAGTGGGCAGTGCAGTCTAGCCTGACCCCCGCTCACAGAGGTCCACCCTCTCCTCAGACTTAGTAATGAGGCTCCATCTCATGGGCAAAGCTAGTGACCCTGCAGGCAACAATTAACGGGACACAGGGCAGGAGGGATCCCTTTGAGATACAAATGAGTAGCCAGGCCTGCACCTAACAGGGAGCTGGCATGGCCTCGGCTACTGCCGCTGCCCTCAGAGCAGCCACCAATTCCCTCTAGGAGAGCATCTGATGCTCCAGCTGCCTTGCCGCGGTGAGCCAGCTGGCATGGGGGCTGCAGCATCAAGGCTCTGGGAACAAGCTTGCACCCAGAGATGACTGGGATGGCAGGGGCAGGGCTCCTGGACTCTGAGCAGGGAGGTGGGGGACACAGCTGGTCTCACACAGTGCAAGGGGTGTCAGCATGAGGGGGGATGGAGATGCCCTTTCAGGGGTCCACAGGTGCTGGGGGCCATGTGCATGCAGCATTGCAGTGATGAGCAGGGGACGGAGGGGCCTAGCAGGACTGTTTATCTCAGCTAGGGGGAGGGGTCAAAGGGCCAAGAGCTACCAGGGACTCAGGGTTTGAGGCCCAGCTGGAGCTGCCCTACAGGTTCTCAGCACCTCTCCTGGGCCTGGGAGCGGCAGGGGTGGAGCTCTACCACCCTCAGCCTTCGCAGCACACCCTTTGCCATCAGGAGCACCTGAGCAGACAGAACATGACTCAGCCCCTAGCTGAGCAGCAGACCCAAGAGAGCATGACTGGGCTTCGTGCTGGGGTCTGGGCTGCATTTCAGAGACCTGTGCCTGGTAAAAGGGGTGGGTGTCCCTAGGGCAGAGCTGCCCTCAACACCCTCCTTCCTAAGCCCGAGGGAAGAGCGGCTGCCCAGGAGCTGGCGTGCACTGGCTCAGCTGACACAGCTGTGCTCCTGAGAGCAAGGGCTGGGCCCTGCCCCCATGTCTCCAGGACTGTCCACACCACTTGCTCCCAGCTGAGCGGGACAGTCACCCAGCCTGAGATTGGGAGCAGCAAGGCACACCCGGCACTGCTGCTCCCCATGCAGGGGGGAAAGACACCCTGTACCCTCAGTATCTCCTGCACAAGCAGGGGCTGGGGCTGACTTGACTAGGCCTCGCAGAGCGAGCCAGCCCTAGGAGCTGCACGGACCCCCCCCCAGGAGACTGCAGTATCCAAGCAGACAGCGTCATGCCAAGGCCTCCTTGGCAGAGCCGTGGATCACGGTAGCAGAGGAATTGCCTCCTGCTCCGGTAGGCAGAGCTGGTGGCTGTGCTGATGGGTTCACTCCTAGCTCCTGGGCAGCTAAAGCCTTTCAAAACAGGCCAGGACTAATTAGTCAGGCCAGCCGTCTCCGTGCAGCCGACTGCAGCCAACCTTCACCCTCTGCGCAGATGCCTGCGGGGAGGGACTGTCCCTAGTACAGAAGTGCTGCCAGGGCTGTGCACAGAAGGGCTCCCAAAAGCACAGCCCCTTCCTACAGGTGAAGATTGGGGGGAGCAGAGGAGGGCTGTGGAAACCCTCTGGGGCTGGATGTACCTCAGCCTACCTCCTTGGAGAAGACCAAGCGCCAGGATGTTTGGACCCACCCAGACCGGCAGCGCCCCCACCCTAGAGCAGTGCCCCCATCCAGTGAGGCCACAGGGTCCCAGCTATCAGCCTTTGCAGGTGGGGTCTTCTCCCAGGCCTCGCACAGGGGAAGGATCAGCAGCCAGGTTAACCCCAGGCAGCCGCATGATGAAGTGGAGTCTCACACTGGATCATTACACTCATTCAGTTTATTTTGGTTTAAAATGTGTTTTTAAAACAAGCAGGAAGTTTTAAACACCAATTATCTGCAATGGCCAGTGGAGACAATAGAGACAGGGGAGCTATGGCCCCATGGAACAGAGCAGAAGCTAAAACAGGAAGAGGAATCGATCCAGACAGCAGCTCATTTCCCCCATTAACTGCACCACAAGTAGGAAGGAGCCAGGGAGATGCAGAAAGAGCAGAAAATGTGAGAACAGAAAGATACTGTGGGGAGCTCAGAGCAGTCACTTCCAGAAGACAGCAGCTCTTTCTGGGCGAGGGAACGGCAGCATTGACTGCCTGCCTGCCGCATGGGAAGACGGGAGAAAACCCTGCTCCATCTGCAGATCAGACTAGGGGCTTCCCGCCTCCACCGGCTCTGGCATCAGCTAGCTGCACACTTGACAGGTGAGGTCAGGCCAGGCCACTGGCTAAGGGAACGCTGTTTTCCTGGTACTAAGTGCTCACGTCTCCCTCCTCCAGGGTCAGGCTGCAGAGGGTGATGGAGGAGCACAGGAGGTGCGTGTATAAGCAGCACTAATGAAATGCGGCAGGCCATTAAAAAGCCACTATCGAGCAGTTGGACACACGGTGCAGTCCAGTCTAGGCAAGGGAGTCTGTTTCCTGGTCGCTCCATTGAGGGGAGAGGAGAGCCAGGCCATTGCTGGTCAAGGCCAGGCCAGGCCCAGTGGTCTGTCCCCATGGGAAGCCAGGGCTAGCATGGCCAGGCTGGGGGAGAGCTCTTCCTGTGGCTGAGCTCCACAAGCAAGTGAACCAACCAGATCAGTCTTGCCTAAAGCCTCCAGGCTCAGCCCCACCCTCCATTTGCAGCCAGTCCTTATTCCAGTGCCCGCAGACTGTCTCCGGCCAGCCTTGTGCCTTCTGATGGCTGCGGGGAAAGTGGTTTGCCACAGCCGTCTCTGCGGGGCTCCCTTAGCAACCGTGCTTGGGGGTGAGCCCTAGTTCTTGACGGGGTCTGTGCAGCTAGTGGCTAGCTGGTCCAGCTGCCCAGGCAGGCCTCAAACACAGCGAAAGGGGCTCCTTCTGTTTCTGCACGACAGTTCCGACAGCTCTGGTCATCTCTGCCTAAGTCCAGCTCAGACTTCTGCTTCAGGACCGAGTAGAGATGGGACTCATAGCCGCTGTCTTGGACATTGATGCAGGTCCTCCGGAGCACCTCCAGGTCTACTGGCCGGTTCCTGGTGCCCTGCAGAGCGTCCAGTGAGCAGAGCAGCTGGACGTCCCAGTCCGACTCTGAAGAAGAAGATGGTGGCCCCAGATTTCGGCCAGTGTGGGTTCTGCAAGGGGCAGGCTGGAGGGTGCTGGGATGGGCGGCCAGGCTTTCGCCAAGGTCTGTGCTGTTGGGTGGCTTGGGCAGCGCACCTTCAGCTACTGCAGGGCAGCGCAAGCGCCTGGCTGGGGGGATTGGCAGGTGTGGGAGGGCCGGATGGACTGCAGAACAGCTGGCCTTGTCCCAGGTAGGTGATTGCAGCTCGAGGCCAGACTCGGCCACACAGCAGGGAGGCTCTGGGGCCTGCTCTGTAGACTGCCCCTCTTGCAGGCCTGGAGTCCCGCTCTCCCAGCCCTGCTGAGTGGCTGTGCTCGCCAGGGTAGCCTCAGTGTCGGCTATAGCCATGGGATCAGGCTCGGGAGGCTCTGGGAGCACATGGGCTCTGTCCTGAGGTGTCGCTGAGGCAGGGAAGCTGCAGAGCCTGCTGGAAAGCAGCAAGAGCTCTGCTCCAGGAGCACCAGATGGAGCAGTGCCAGCAACCCCTCCCACAGCCAGCCCCACACCCCAATGAACTGAGCTGCAGCACACCGAGCCTGTCTGCTTCTCCAGACGCAGGGGGTCGCTGCTCGGCTGTATTATCCTCGGCCTCTTTTCCAGCCGCATGCAAGGGCTGTCGGAGAGTTTGCGTTTCCTGGAGCAGGGTGATGCTCCCAGAGGGTGACTCAGGGACTCGAGTGCATCCTGGGGAACAAGTTCAGGGGAGCAAGCAGCTGCCTCTCCAGGCAATCCATCGCTGGCCCGGGTCCACTGGCTGAGATCAGGAGCAGTGGCCAAGGCAGTAGCCCCCACTGCAGTGTTGTCAACAGCAGACTGGTCTGTGTTCTGACACCAAGCATGGGCCCTCCCAGCTGGCCCTGTGCTAGCAGATGGCCTGGCTTGCAGTGTCTCCTCAGCCCATAGCCCCAGGAGGGGGTGCCCAGCAGGCAATTCTGGAGGAGGGAGCTCACTGACCTTCTCCTTTGGCGTCTCCTCTGGGCCTGTGGCGCATTCCCCACCCAGCACAGACACTGCATTGAGAGACAGCTCTGCTTTGTCCTTCCTGGCCAGCTGGTGCTTCCATCCCAGCTCTGCAGCTGGTGCGCCCAGGCCTTCCACAGCCTTTGCTCGAGAGCCACAGAGTTCGTTGTCAGCTGCAGGAGAGCAGGGCACCCTGGGAGAGAAAGCTTCTCATTTAATATGGGAGCCCCTTGCATGGAACAGAAGCCAGGGCTGTGCAGCACTCTAGCAGGGAGCCAGCACGATCTGTGCAGGGATGGGGTATTTAAGCCCCTCTGCTCAGAAGGTGAGGCCGAGTAAATTGGGAGATCGCCTGGGAGGAGCAGTGGCTTGAAATGCAGCTGTGCAGAACTCCAGCCCAGGAGTCATCAGGGTCACCTTCACCAGGTCAACTTCACCAGGGTCACCTGCTGGCTGAGCAGGACAGCCTGACCCAGCCCCAAAGGGACACACCCCAGCACAGAGAAACAGGAGGGGGACTGAGGAGCAGATGTGTATTTTGGGCAGTGAGGGGTCCTGCGTCACAGGAGATGAGCCACTCTTGGGTAAAGGCATGAGAGGGGTCTGGGAAATTCCCCACAGGAACCAAGAGAACAGCCCCAGGGCAACAGGAGCCCAGAGTGGCTCGTGTCTTTGAGGGTGTAGCAGGGGAAGGAGCCAGCCTGTCTACCCTGGACACCGAAGGGAACTTGTCCCCTAATCCTGCTCTGCCAAAGGAAGCAGGGCCCCTCTACCAGAACTGCCTGCCTGTCACTGAGCAGCTGACTGGCTGTGGATTTTAACCCACCATGATCCAGGCTGCCCAAGCCAGACCCTCAAGCCCCAGGGCAGCAAGCTGTTTGTGTGTTACCTGGGGGGAGAGGACCAGGCTGGGATCTCTGCAAAGTCGTTGGTGAGCTGAGCGATGACGTGATCCACAGCTGCATACTGAGAGGCGTCCAGCGCGAACCGCCTGTGCCGGGGGCTCTGGAGGTGCTGGAACAGAGCAAGGGGAGCGTGGGGCCAGCAGCTTCTTCTCGCAGCAGCAGGCCCAGGAGAGCAGGGTGCAGCTGAGCCACAGCCCCATGCTGGGGAGAGTTCCAGGGAGCAGCAGTAGCTGCTTGCCCTGCAGGTAGCTGCATGGCAACTGCTGGGGAAGGCTAGAGGCCCTCAGGGACAGGCTGTGGGGCCAAGGGGAACGGATGTGGGCACAGAGGGAATGCGGCTCTACCCCTGCCCATGGCTATGGTGCTGGGAACATCCCAGGGCCAAGGTATGACAAGTATGGGGCAAGAGCAGTGCAATCTGCAGCTTGGCTCCCAGCTGCTGGGATGGGCAACAGTGCTGGCACCCTAGGTGCCCCTGGGCCAGGGGCACAACTGCCCTGCAGGACTGCACACTCCCAGCTCCCAATGGACTTGGGCTGTTCTGCTGAGACAGGTCAGAGGAGCGGCAGACGGAGCCAAGGCACACCTGTAAGATTGTCTGCTTCCCCACTGGGCACGCCTGCGTTGGGCATATCTGCAGAGGCTCTGCCTGCCTTGAACCACGAGCAGGGGAGACCAAGGCAGCTCCTGCAGTGCTAGGCCAGTGGAGCCCTTACCATCTGCAGCTCCCCGAAGGTCTCCTGGCAACATTCACAAAACCCCTTCCTCCTCTTGGGCACGGTGGCTGGGCTGGACCGGGGGCTCCTCTCTCTCTCGCTGTGCGTCGGACAGCCCTCGGGGGCTCTGCAAGGGGACACAGTACAGGCTAGATATCCATATTATCCCCATGCCTAGGCATCGGTTGGGCTAGGTGTGGTACAAACAAGATGGCCTCTGCCCCCGGGGGCAGACAATCTTAGGGACGGGACGAGACGGGGAGCACGAGAATGCGGTGAGAATGCTGCTCAGCGAGACAGGCTGTGGGAGATCTACAAGGAGCTCATCCCAAGCGTGAGGGGCAGCAGAGAAGAAAGCACAAAGGGGCGAAGAAGGCTAGCATCGCTGGGCTGATCAGAGGTTGGAGTTGACTTCTTCATAGCAAAGGAGAGGCGAGAGGTAGGGTGGGGATAGGCCACAAAGGGCCTGCAGAGTGAAGACAAGCAGCTCATGTTTAAGGCGACAGAGAAGGAGGAGTCCGTGGAAGGACACAACAAGGGTGGGGGGAGGACATGGTCAAGACAGTGGACGAGGAGAACGATGTCTGTAGCAGTGTTTCGGATATGAGAGATGCACGTGTCCAGGCCAGACAGAAGGAGGCTGCAGTAACTGAGAGGTGAGATGGGCCTGGATGGGAGCTCTAGGTCTGTGGATGGATAGGAGAGGCCAGACCTTAGGGATGTTCTGCACAAAGAACTGGTACAATTGACACAGTCTGGGTGCAAGGACCTAGAGGGAGGTCAGAGTTGAAGATGATGCCTGGGTTACAGGCCTCAGTGACAGACAGGACAGTGGGGCTGTCCATACTGAGCAAGTCAGAGTTGAAGGCAGCAGGGACCCCCAGCTCACTGAGTCTGACCTCCTGGGCACCAGCCCCACCCAGCACCCGCACACTGAACCCAACTGAAATGAGCCCAAAGGGTCACAGCCTCAGAACACTGGACTATGCTGCGCCACAGGCCGAGGGGTACCAGGGCCCGAGGCCCTTGAAATGGGAGGGGAATGATGTGAGATACACCCAGATAATCCTGGCCAGTGACCCGCCCCCCCATGCTGCAGGGGAAGGCGAAACCCCCAAGCTCACCACCAACCTGACCTGGGGCGGAATTCCTGCCCCACCCCACATTCGGTGCTCGGTTAGACCCTGAGCTTGTGAGCTAGACCCATCAGCCAAGCACCTGAGAGAGAAAATGCCCAGGGCCACCTCAGAGCCCTGGCGCTCCCATGCAGTAGCCCAGCCCAGCCACGACCATCCTGAGGCTTCAGAGGAGGGAGGTAAACCCAGAATTCCTGACTGGGACTGAAAGCAGCCTGTATTCACATCCTACACACCACTGTAATAATCTTTGCACAAAAAAAGCCTTGTGAGGTACCAATAACTCGCTGCTCATTAACATTCTTGCGCAAGGTCTGCATGTGATGGGTATGGAGAGTCATGGTATCATCATCAGAATGTGTGTGAACCAGGTCTGTCCCAAACAAAGGGATGAGAGTTCCCTGTTTACACACCCCCACCAAGCTGACAAGGGGCAGAGGCAAACCTCACACTAACAAGGGGAGGGGAAAAAGAGGGCAGCATGGCATCTGTACCCAGAAGGAGACAGACACTTGTCCTGGGTTTCACTTTTCCAGAGGAATCATAGAATCATAGAATATAAGGGTTGGAAGGGACCCCAGAAGGTCATCTAGTCCAACCCCCTGCTCAAAGCAGGACCAATTCCCAGTTAAATCATCCCAGCCAGGGCTTTGTCCACTGCAAAGGCTCCCTGGGCTATAAAGACAGGGGCTGAACCTCCAGTGATAAGCAGCTGAATCAGCTGCTGATGTACGATATTACTGTACTACAAGAGTTTTGAGTGAGGCCTTTTCTGACTGCTAAGGACTCTGGGGATTAATATCACTGAACTGGCTGTATTAACACTCAATGAGGAATTCTGGACACTCACTGATACCAGGCTGTACCGCCTGCCCAGATAGGAGGGGATGGCACAGCTTTCTACCTCTCTCCTATGTACATGAAGCATAGAGGAATCAAACAATGGAAGCTGCTTTTCATTGAATTCAAAGGGGATGGGAAGCCCACAGGAAGGGAAGAATAGCATGAGAACATCCTGCTTCTTGAAACAAAGTCATTGACCTTCAGAAGATCTAAGCAAGGACTGAAGCCATCTTTGGCATCCATCACTACACAGACAAGAGGCTAGAACCCTTGCAAGCTGAGAAAGACGAGTCCTTCAACGAAGGAGGGTGGGGTGGGGGGGTGCGCATGAAGTCGCTGGAACAGAATATAGGTAAGAAGTTGTCTTAGGTGAAAGATCTTTGCCTAAGCAGACAAGGGAAGCCAGCACCTTGTACCTTTGTGAACATCAGCCATGGCTGGGAAGGATGACTGGTGAGAGAAACCATCTTGAAAGCCTATATCTTGCTAGATTAAGTTTTAGGCCTTTAGAAGCATATTTTGTTGTGTTTTACTTGTAACTCTACCTTCATTCTTTAAACTTATTAACAAAATTAAGTGAAATCAAGTATATTTCATTTTTATCACAAAAAAATATTTAAAGAGAAGGGTGAATTTGTGCCCAGTTAATAAGCTGTGGTGTGCATATATCCTGAAAGGAACAAACGAACCAAATTATGTCTCTGAATGGTCCAGGCGAGGGTTGGACATAGCAGAGCACATGGTTTGGCAACATTTGGGACTGAGAGTTGGGGTCACCCTGCAGGTAGTAACCCCGGCTGATGGAATCCACATAGTGCTGTTGACAGGCTGCTGACCCAGCACCGTCCAGCACAGACAGACACTTGGGGCATGCACTGGCTGTCAGCAGTCCAGGTTGGGAGCTACACCAGCAAAGCAACAGGTTCCAGGGTAGACAGTGAGAACATTGCATCCTGCAATGTGACCCTGGCCCCTGCAGGGGACCAGCTGGGTCCCTGAAGCATGGGTTTATAGGAACACACACTGGAAGTGGCCCAAGGGCCGCTGCCTCAGTCAAATGGGTCCAGCTCTCTTAAAACTAAATATGTGGTTACCCCAGTAGCTCCTGCAGAAGAGGTTGTTCCAGAATCTCACCTCTCTGCTGATTAGAAACCGCATTTCCAGCCTGAATGTGTTCATGGCTAGTTTATCCCCGTTTCTTCTTGGGCCAACAGTGTCCTTCAGCTTCAACAGCTCTTCACCCCCGCCATAATCAGAGACCAATCATGCCCCACCTGAGCCTTCTCGCTAAGCTGAACAAGCCGTAAGGTTGGCTCTCCATTCCACTAGTCATCCTAGCGGCTCTTCTCTGCACCTGTTCTGGTCAGAATTTACCTTTCATGAACATGGGCGACCAGTGTTCCAGATGAGGTCTCACCAGTGCCTTGTACCATGGCATTGCTCAGCCCAATGAGAAAGGAGGTAGTGGGCGGGGAAGGAGGTGGATTAAGAGCTCAGTTTTAGCCATGTTGAGCTTGAGCTGATGGCTACACATCCATGAGGATATAGGAGAGAGAGAGGGGCTGACAGGAGATAGGTCTGGAGCAGAGAGGAAAGTCCACGTGTTGTCAGCACAGAGAGAGTTGCTGAGCTGGTTTGTGGAGGAGATTAGCCAGAGGTAAGTGCAAAAGGAGAAGAGATGTGGACCAAGGACAGTCCTGTGGACCCCCCCCTTCTCCCCCCTCCCAGAAACCTGGCGGAGGAGCAGCAGCAGCATCAAGCCCCAGAGTGCTCAGGAGTCACGAGGGCTGCAGCTGGGTCACACAGACTCACTTACTCCCTTCCCCAGAGGAGTCTTTGTGAAACACAGGCTCAGGCACAAGCCATCAGCACAGCCAGGTCTGAGGATGGCGAGGCCACCTGCCAGCCAGGGGCCCTCCCCATCCAGTTGGCAGTTTTCCGACCTAGAAAAAGGTCACGGCTCAGATTAGCTCTGATCAGGCTGAGCCGTGGAACAAAGGAGCTCAGGAGAGAGTCTATTTGGCCCCATGCAAAGGAGCTAGGAGTCTCTGATGTCCGCAGGGAGTCTGGGATACCAATGGCACCCAGGCAGCAGTGGGGCTGTAACAGCCACACTCCCTGGCAGCTTGCACCACCTACCTGACTCTGCAGGAGCTTGAGGGGGTTTTCAGAGGCTCAAATGGGCTGGATCTGTTCGGTGCCAGGAAGTTCAGATCAGGGAAGCTCTTGAATTGGTGATGGAAGGGCCGGAATTTCCTGCAAGAACCATCAGTGTCAGACGTCAGGCATGGCTGTGACCCATTTTGGCCCAGTTCTCACTTACCTGGGCTACTACAGGCTCCCCCACACCTCCTCCCTGAGCCTTCGTCCAAGCACAGAGGCTCAATTCCTGCGCCCCCGACCCTTGCTTGGGGCTTCCACGTCCCCATTTAAATGACATGAATAGGCAGCAGGTTTAAAAACAAAAGGAAGTACTTCTTCACACAACGTAGAGTCAACCTGTGGAATTCTTGCTAGAGGATATTGTGAAGGCCAAGACTATAAACAGGGTTCAAAAAAGAACTAGATAAATTTGTGGAGGATTGGTCTATCAATGGCTATTAGCCAGGCTGGGCACGGATGGTGTCGCCAGCCTGTTTGCGAGGAGCTGGGAATGGGTGACAGGGGATGGATCACTTGATGATTCCCTGTCCTGTTCATTCCCTCTGGGACACCTGGCACTGGCCACTGTCAGAACACAGGATGCTGGGCTAGATGGACCTTTGGTCTGACCCAGTATGGGGCTGTTATGTTCCTGTTTCCCTTGTTAGATTGAGATGAGAGTGGACCCCTGGGGTAGTTTCAGGATTCAGCATGTTTACACCATGCCTTGATTTGGCCCAGAGACTCTTCCTTGGGAGACTGCTGGGGCAGGCAGCTTCCTACAGAGCCCTCAAGTCCCCCTGCTCTCTGCTTGCTCAGAGAAGGTGGGCTGAGCTGCAGGTCGAGGGTTCAGCTCTGGAGACCTGTGTTGACTCCCTGTTGCAGCTCCAGCCTCTGTCCCCATTTCCCCAGCTCCCTCAATTCCATACCGCTGGACAAGTCCAGCCTTTGCATCCATGGAGGGCCCCATTGACTGCAATGTGGACAGCACTTAAACTCATGAAAGCCAGACTTGCCTCCTGTTCAGGGGCAGACAGCAGCTTCGCAGACAGGGCACCACCACCGGTGGAGGCCATAGGGCAGGCATTTGCTGCCTAGCCCTGAAAGATGCTGGTAATTCCGTGGGCATCCTGCATCCCATAGCTCCAGCTGTTGCTACCACTGGTGGATGTGTGCCACTGGGCAGTTATGTACTTGATTTTTCCAAGTGTAGGACAAGGCCTTTGGAACGGTGAATCCCAAGGCAGCCTTCTCCCTGCACCCTCCCATCCCATGTGCGGAACTGCACTGGGCCTAGAGTACAGGACGCAATCAGCAGTTTGTGAAAATCTTTGAGGGACACAGTCTCAGCTAGAAATGCCTGTTACCAGCACCTGAGATAAAGCTGATAGCACTGAGAGACCTAGTTCTCCTCTCACGCCTGAGCTTGGATTGCATTACACTCCAAGCCAGGGACATTAGAAACTGGTGCTGACTATTATCAGTGTTGTAATGGCACCTATGAGCCTGTCATGGACCCAGCCCCACTGCACTAGGCCCTGCATAAACATAGAACCAAGATGGCTCCTGGCCCAAGGAGCTCATACTTGCTATCAATCCATTTCACTCTGCTTCTTCCGCTCTCACCCAGTGCAGGGGTGGAGTTTCTTTTACTGCACGGAAGGTTTTACCCGAAACCTGCTGATACTTTAGAATTCACCCT